GTGTGTGTGTGTGTGTGTGTGTGTGTGTGTGTGTGGGAATACAAAGCCAAAGAGCGATCAATAGGACAAGCCTAAAGAGGAAGATGAGGATAAAAAAGTATACAATACCAAATTGCCTCATTATGTGATTTAGACATTTCATTTTATACAACAAAATCGTTTCGCATTTTCATTTTTCTCTTATTTTCTAAACGAATTTGATTTGCAACTTTTCTATTGATTAAATAAAAAAGGAAAATTCAAATTATTCTTTGAAACTGAAAGAAAAAAAAGGAATGTCATAGAAGTGGATGAACCTATGCGACCAACAAAGAGAGGATATAAACAATCTATCTCTTTTTGATATGAACAATCTATTTTTTCCTGATATGATAATGATTAAGATTCAACCACTTATTGCATAATTAAGATAAGACCAAGTGATATGATTAAGATCAATTAAACTTTTGATCAGTGATTGCTTCTGCTATCGTACAACTGATATTCTTCGTTTGAGAATATTAGTTGCATGATATGTTAATTGTATATTTATCCGATAATGTAAGAGTTACAGTAATTTGTAATTGATGTTCACTTAGTTGTAAATTAGCTAAGATTAATTTGATGACTAAGATTTAACTGGTTAACTCAATTGGTTTAATATTAGCTGATTTTCTTTGCTTCAAATTAATTTCATTTTTTGAATGTGAATCTCGAAACTGGAACAGCTGCAGTTATTCTACACATACCAAACTGTTTAAGCAGCCAGACGACGATTAATATTTTCACATTTCCATCTGATTATCATTCGTTTTTCTTTTTTTGCAAATACAGCTGACTGAAGACGAAAAAAATAAATGAGCGTTAAAAAATTTCAGAAACTAAAATTGCAAAAATTTCCAGAATTGTAACTGTAATATGATAGATAAAAATAAAAATTCAATTTATATTTACGCTTGAAATGAATGACAAAAGCGTTACTACTAATTAATAAGAAAAACATTAACAACAATAAAAAAAACGGAAATGAATAACATATGATAAAAGCGCTTCCTGCACTATCATAGCTATTTAGATCGAATAAAAAAAAGATTATAAAACATAAAAGTTTATGAAGTAGCTTGACAAAAATCTATCAGATAGGAGAAACGCGTGATGAGAAGAGCGGCATGGTACGAAGGAAATGGGAAAATGAGGGAAGAAGAAAGGAAAGTATTGAAAGGCTGAAATGGTTCGTTCTTGAAAAAGAGAGCCATAAATCAGAGGACGATTTTGCTGGAACAGCCAGCCGAAAAGATCCGAAAATTGTTTCGGTGTTCTACAAAAACGAAATGACAAACATTTAAGAAATATTGTTTTTGTTTCATGGACGGACAGATAGGAGACAATTTGGACAAATGAAGAAAAACAGGATGGAGTCGGGTTTGGAGTTGAGAGCTCCTTTAAGGGATCATTGTAGATGGAACTGAGGGCTAATTAAAAGGACTTGAAAGATCAGAGAAGGTGGGTGAGAAGAGGGAGAGACATACACCTCCAAGCACCACACAACGGTAATTTTTCCCTCCTCTGTAAATCTCCCAGCCATTTCTTCTTCCTATCTCTTTACTGATATTTTGTTGCAAAATTTTTAGCCTTCTCATTAGAAGGGACATATCGTTCTATCTTTCCCGTAGAATCTGTTCCGTCCTTGCTTTAATTATCCTTCTCACCGTCCGACACATGCAATAAACAATAGTGTAATTTTTCATTTATGGAACTTCATTTTAATTAGCTACCATATCTTTTCGTCATTTTGAAATAACTGAGTTTTTCGTTTAACATTGCTGATTTCATCTTTTGTATTTCATTTCGAGAATTTCCGCTTTGAAGTATGTAATCTTTGATTTTAGATATCATAGAGAAATCTTGTTAATTATAAAAAGAATGAATTTCCAAAGATTAAATTTGCAGGTGCCGTTTTATTATTTGAAAATTCCTGTAACTTTGATTTTCATCTTCTTGATTTGCATTATTCCGGAAATTTTCTTTAAAACAACGAAACAGAAACCTTTAAACCTAGGAACTGAAAATAACTTAAAAGTAAAATTACACGTTTGTCCATCACAATTATCTACGTCATACGGAGATTCGTTCAAAGTAAGCATCACGTGATATGTCAATTGTCACGCGAAAGAAAAAAGTTGAGTATACGCATGACTGGAAGAAAAGAACATACAAAATAGCTTTTCACAGCAAGTTCATGTTCAAGTCAAAGATTTTTTTTCTGGGAAAGTAAAATTTAAACATTTTGCTGGAATATTTCATATTTCCAACTGTACGAAAAGTTAATATTAGAAATGGAATCCATGTTATCGCGATTACAATATTTCTTTATGTATTGTTATTTAGAAAGCTTCGTAGCACACAATTCATCCTAAAGAAAATCAAATATCGTTAAGTGTAAGCAGCACTGATGTAATGTGAACATCGTTCATTTCAAATTTTTCAGTTCAACATTGGCAGAAAAAATGAATGAGAATACTAACTCAGAAAATCCATGCAATGAAATCCCGATACTGCGATATGTTTTGTAACATCTTGACAGATCATAAAATCGATACGATATATATTGTTATCAACCGTAGTATATCTTGTTTGGTACATGTACGAGTGAATTACATATTCAAAGCTTGTGTATTCGAATGCTAATAAACAACAAAACATTTTATCCTCTCGGTTTGATCAATTTTTTTTTCAGGAATACAGTGGAAAAATACTTTTAACTGTAGTCTATATGCGGAGAAGTAAAAATATCTTCCGCGTAGCTATGTTCATTTAGAAAATGGCCTAACTCTTCTGCTCCTTCTCATCTTCACCGGTTTAAGATAAGCAGCATTGTCTTTGGAAGTTCGTGAAAAGTAATTCGTTCTTCTCTTTTCTTCCCCGTCTCGGATACTCAGCTTCACTATATTCAATAGGATGTCCATGCTACTTATTGATTATGGAAGCCTACTTCCACCAGACCCGAAGAACAAAGCTTATTTAATCAATAATTTTTAGACTACATAACACCAAATGTAATGCTTCCATATTCCTGATAACATTAATAAATATAGCTCAGTGGTTTTTCATATTCAGTTTTTAGGTGGATTATGACATTCATGTAACTCTGAAAACAAAATATTTATCCTTCATAAACAAAAGGACAAATGAAATCATTTATACAATGTACTTATACAATGTATTACTAACGGAATGTAAATGTATTCATGTTTTTCTGATAGTAAAGTGGGAGCTGATGATCGCGACCCCTGAAATACAAATGAACCTTAATTCATGGATGTAGAAACAATGTATTTAAAAGCTATACATGTAAGAACAGCTTCAAATATGTTTAAGCATTACTAATTCTGTGTTATTAACTATATATATAATATCAGATGAGAAAAAAAAAACCTATATGGGCGAGAGAAAAGATGTTCACGAGTGAATTGTCCACAACCATTTGCAGCACTGCCCGATTCAAGAAGAATATCAAAACGCGAAACTAAGAATGCCATCTGCGCTTCTAGGATAGCATTTGGATCGTCACATGTCACATAGGTCGTAAAATCAGCATTTAAAACCCGCTCCAAGTGCTAAATTTAAAATTTCTTACCAATTTTTATTTCCTTTAAGAAGAAATCTAAATGAATAGAAACGAATAATGCCTGAAAAAAATTTCAATTAAGAAAATCTTCAGAAAAAACAAGCAAAAAAACTTGTTTTCCATAAATTTTCCATAAATTTTCATAAGAAACCATCCACTCAAAAGCTGGAGAAGATTCGTGCAATTTCTACGACAGACAAAACATTAAAGTCAACTACAGAGGACTTGCTCTCCAGAAAGTCGGAGTATCATATAGAAATAAACGAATTTTCTGAGATTATGAAAAGAATATCTAGAAATGCTTACAATAAGACTACTGTTGAATGATGAAGAAACATCTGTATTATCCAGCGTGAAACTTAAGATATAAATTGGTTTTACCTTCGGGTATTTGATATCAACCTGAAGTTTACTTCATCGATAATTATTAAAAATCAAAAAGAAAAATTACAGTATGCATATTTAGACCACATTTAACACAAAGATTCGAGTTTTATATATGCCGAAATGTCTGTAACATTTAAAAAAGACTAAATCATTCTAAGAAAGCTAATTTTAAAGCAAAATTTTAGTGTATTTTGAAAAGCTATTTACATAAGCCGAAATATTATTTCAACTCTACCAGATATTTAAAAAAATATTCAATAACCCATACAAATATTAAAGCATGAAGTTTTGCTCCTGGATCTCTTTCAATCATTGCAGAAAAGTAAAACTGTTTATTAGTATTTGTTCCTCGTTCAAATTCTATCAGCATTCGGTATTCTTCTGTTACGGCTCCATATCCCTAAAAACGGACATCTCAAAACAGAAATAAATAGTGAGTAAAATTTTTTTAGTTTCCGGATTTTTGTATTACCGAAACTTGGATCACATTTTATTAAACTTAGACAGAGAAGACGAATGGCATATTTCCGGGAACTAAAGAAAATGTCATTCACTATGGCATTTATAAGAAATACTAAGGCTTTACTGAGTATCATTAAAGATACAAACGTTCTTCAGCTGATTTAAAAGACAAACTGGGAGAATACGAAAATATAATTGTCTGATCAATAATGAAAACATAAAATCATGTGACTCAAATTATAAAATTTTATAAAAGCACAAAATTTACCAACTTTAAAAAATTACATAAAATGAACTAACAAAAAACTGCTCAGCTGTAATCATTCGAAAACCGGTCAACTTTGCACAGACGTTATCGGGGAAATCATTCCGGTTTTTTAAAACATCGAATACTTTCAAAGCATCTGTAAAATTTATCGGTTTGTCAAATAACGTCACTTAAACTATAAAAAAATTAAAGCATAACAAAGCGAAAATTATCAGTATCTTTCGTGATTTTTCTTGCATACTTCTATCATAACTGTAGAGGGTGATCAGATGATGAGTTCATTTCTTTTCAAATCCCATTTCTCGATGTTACAAGTTGTTTGATTATGTGACTTTCAAAAGTTTAGATGCGGATTTAAAAAAAATACGACCACAAAGCCAAAAATAAAAACAAACTGCTTTTACAAAAACTTTGTTTTGATGTTATTACGAAAAAAAAACACACGGAGAGAATGAGTGATTCGAGCCAGAACGCATCTTGAACGTACACGTGACCTGATTTTTCCAACCACAGAATGTAAAATTTCACATAACTGAGAATTTTTCGACGGAACTTCATCGTTTATACCAGCCATTTTCTGTGCAAATGCGTAGAATCGACCAATTTTAGGTTCCAAATCATCCAAAGAAATCCTTTAAAAAACATAAACTGTGAAAACTGGAATGAAGCGGAAATTATGATTAAGCATTAAATAAGTTTCTACTAATTCCAACAAATTAATTCAATCGTAATTAGTCAAAATTTTTAAATATTAGGTTCA